CCCGCTCTCCCGTCCCCCCCGCCCCCCCCCCGAGTTGGGGTGCCTGGCAGGGTGCTGCTCTCCCCTCCCTTATGCAGTGCCCGTGGCTGGGCATGGCATATAGGTGACAGTAGTTCACGTTTCAACTCAGAGATGGCTGCTGTTTGCTGGAAGATTAAATGGATCCCCCTTCACTATGGAGCGTGGGCTCCCACATCTTTCACTTTAATGGCTTTGTCAAAAGTAAGGAGTAGTCCTGTGGCACCTCAGGGTATATCTACACATCAGTGTTATCTCAGACTAATGGATGTTCCTTTGAAATAACGTAGTCCAGGTCTACACAGCACGCAGTTATTTTGACATGTTGAAATCATGTCAAGCAGGAGGATTTCTTACTCTTGACTCCTGTAACCCTCATTTTATAAGGAGCCTCATTTTGTAAGTAGGAGGAAAACTGCTGTAACCCAGACTTCCAGCTGTGTAGACCGTGCTAAAAGCCGAAATAAGCTATTTCGACTTCAGCTATGCAATTGTTGTAGCTCCAGTTGCATAGCTTATTTTGGCTTTAGTCCAATGTGTAGATGTACCCTTAGAGACTAACAATATATATATATAAGATCATGAGCTTTTGTGGGCACAAGCCACTTCTTCAGTTGAGCTTGAGTGGTGCTCATCTGAAGAAATGGGTTTTGCCCACAAAAACTGTTGATACTATACATAGTATTTGTTAGTCTGTAAGGTGCCACAGGACTACTTGTTAAAAGTGGCTGCAGAAAATGGGGGTCTAGATTTCTGTTCAGTTCGTGAACTATGTTGGGAATAGAAAACGGAAGTGTTGTGTGGCCACCTCTGTGGGTTTATGAGAAACTGTCTATGAAATCATGTATTCCTGGTGATTCTTTTTTAAAGCAGAAATTGATACAGGTTTTCTTTTCCGTGTATTTTGTTTCTTTGTGGAATCTGAGTGTTGGGAAGGAAATGTTGACTTGTATATTCTGCAGTTAGATTGTCAATGTATTTCACGATACTTTATCAGAAAGTGAAATGAGTACTAGTTTTTTTTGGGAGGGGGAGTATTTGAATCACAAGTAGCTTCCCTTAACCTAATATATTATAGGAAGCTGTGTTCTTTTGACTGTCACCTAGTTTAGATCCTAACTCTAGATCTTTTTTTAATGTAAGTCTGTTTTAATGATGTGTCCGTAAGCATGATGTTGGATTTTTTTGTTTTGGATTTAAACATTCCCCTGTAGTATTATGAATTCAAATGCAACACATTATAATAATGGATGTTAACCAGAAAGTGAAAATGGCTAGTCCAGTGTCACTTTTCCAAACTATGTATCATTTAAAAAAAAAAGTAAATTATGCTTCTATGGATTCCAACATCACTTGAGTTTATTAACATTGATAAGATGAATTATTTTCACACCTGTATCCTCTGAAAAAGCAATCCTAAAAATTTTCATTCTAATATTTAACTACAATTCTAAACTTCTTAATTAAAGAATAGTCAAGACTTTGTAGCCTTATTCCTGTGAAATGATTTCCAGACGAATGGAAAACCAGAACGTAACACGTATATGTAGTCGCAATGTTAATTTAAATATATATAAAATACTTATCTCTTACAACAATTAGAAGTAAAAGGTCAAATATAAACCAAAAGTTTACCAAAGAGTTTAGAAAACTGCCTAACTTTTAACTGAGGTGACTTACAGTGGAATCTAATGCTGTTTGTATTAGGGATTTTTCAGAAACTCCCATCTAGACAAGCTATTAGTCTTGATCTCCTAGCAAGGTTGTTGCCATGAAGAATTTATGAGGACAGGCTGAAATTATACTCTTGACAAAACATGTCTACAGGTCATACATCAATTGGGTTGTAGGAGCTTCAGTTTTGGCATTTTGACAAAACTATTCCCAGACCTTCAAACTTTGTGTTCAAACAGAACCCATTTTATGTCAAGGTTTTGGATTGAAATTATGGCTTCTTTAAGGTTAACCTGTATATTCCACTGTGCTGATTAGGTCATCCACCTTTCATTATTCTACACACAATGATTATTAAAAAATGAAATGGGGAAAACCTCAATTTTCAAGGCTTAGGTTGCTGTGTTTATGGTAGAAATGCCTATTATACAGGTAGCTTAACACTTTCTGTTACAACCAGTCTTCAGTTGTTTAGCTCTTCTGGCAAACTGGGCTGAAACTTCATGCTTGATATCTACCTCTGACTAAATTGATTTTTTTTTAAAGCTTCAATAAAAGTCCCTAAACTAAAAGGAAAATAGGTAGCTTTAATAAAGTTAAGCCATCTCTTGGGTACCTTCAGGGTTTGAAGTGGTTACTTGAAAGTGAAACTTGGCAGAGAAAATAGTTTACTGTCCCTGATTTGGCTAAACTACAAAACACAGTTCTGTCTGTGCAGCTTGTCAAAACCATGCTATAATCTTCAAGCAATATTGCTAATAGGAATGTGAATGTGTAACCATGTAAATGGTTAACCGATAAGCCAGGGACTCCCTGAACGCATCAATTCCTGGGGAGCCACCTGTCATCCTGCACTGTTGCCTCTGTATTGAAGGAAGCAATGTGTCGTGGCAGTTGGGAGCCGGTATGTGCAGGAAGCTGATTGCTGCTCTACATGTAACCACTGAAATTTTACTTAAATACATGTTTTAACATCCCTAACTGCTGATTGTTCGATGATATTGCAGGATTTGTGCAACCTAGAACTTCTCTTCCCCTTTCTTAGCAATTATTAGGCAATCCTAGTCTTTCCTAAATTGAGCACATCTGCTCTGGTCCAGGCCAGTCTCTGTGTTAGGTAAGCTTGTAAAACATACCTTCAGAATTTGCTTTCCTGTTTTTCTAGATTAATGAATGGTTGGGTGATGACACATTACACTAGGCATTGAAAAACATGACTTGTAAAGATTTCAGTCTACTACAGTAGTGCATAGTTGTCCAAGTGCTAGCTGGTCATTTGGATGGTATTACCTATGCAGCAGTCAAGGACTTGATGAAAGTTAATTGTAGTTAAGATGGCACTCAAATATAGCTAGTGCTAGCTTACTGTGGATAAACTGTGTGTACCCTGATGTGCATTAACAATTTGTCAGTGTGCTTTGATTTGGTCCTGTTTCAAAGAATACTAGCTCAAAGTGCATTTGTTTAGTAATAGTGGATATCAGCAGGGTTCACAAAGACAGTCTGTAGATTGACATCCCATCTTGCCATAAAATAAGTACCTGTTTTTCAGGAAATCTCTGCTCAATATTCTTTTCTCAAAACTAAATATTCATTTTTTTAATTTTTTTTTTTTTAAGATCTTGCATCATAGGTCTGATTTTTCTAAGCCTTTTATCAGTTGTAATTTTCTTCTATTGAGTCTCTCTAGGTTTGTTCTCTAGGTTTGTCCACATCTTTCTTGAAGTTTGAGGCCCAAGTCTTGAAACTACTACTCCATCAGAGTCCTCGCTAATGCTGAGTAAAGTGGGACATGGCTTATACAATACTCCTGCTAATACAGAATTTTTTTTGTCCTCAAGTGCCCCACATAGTTGGTTTTTATTCAATTTGTGATCCACTACAACCCCCAGATCTCTGCAGTACTACTATGTAGCCCACTATTCTCCATTGTGTGTTTTTTGCACTTCAATTTTTTTTGTTACTAATTGTAGTATTTGTCGATTTGAGAGCAATTCTCCAGTTTATCAAGGTCTCTCTGAATTCTCCTCCAAAGTACTAGCACCTCTTCCCAGCTTGGTGCTTTCCTCACATTGTACAGTCATATTCTTCATTCCCTTATCTAGGTCATTAATGAAAATATTGAATAGTAATAGACACAGAATGGATTCTGTAGAACTCAATGTGGTATAATTTTCCATTCTGACAGCCATCGATAATGACTCTTTGAGTACTGTCTTTCAATAAGCTGTGCACCCACAGTATAGTAACTTCATTAGTAGACCACATTTCCATAGTTTGCTTATGACAGTGTCATATGGGAGCATGTCAGAAGTCTTACTAAAATCAAGATGCATCATATTTTCTGCTTATCCATATTGACTAGGCTTTGGTGCCCCCTACCCCATATAGGGGCAGGAGGGTAAGGGGAGTCTCTGGTGCCCTGAGTTGCATGAGCGTGTAGGGTGGTTGTTGTGGGGGTTTTTTGGGTGGGGTGGGGGGAAGGTTCTCACTTGTGTGTGGTCCCTGACCCAAAAAAGGTTCTTCACCTGTTTAACTTGTTCTCCTGTCTTTTACAATTTTGAAAGTTAGGATGACCAGTTTATAATTAATGTCCTTGAAGTAAAAGTTAAATTGCTTATCTGTTCACCTGTACACCTATGGATCAATTCTGCTACTATTGATGTTCATGAAACTTTACCATTAACTTCAGTGAATCCAAGATTGAGCCAGTAGTGTTCTCAGTTAAAACTCTCTCTGGAAAGATGTGCAAAATTTTAAATATTTAGCATAGCTACTTAAGCAGTCTCCAGGGTAGCATGCATTTTCAGCTTTGTATATATAATCTCTCTTGATTTTTTTCAGGTACATTCGATTGGCTGCTGTAAATACTTTGAAATGTTGTCAGCAATGAAGTTAATGTTAACATTCTTTCTTTCTGGAATTATAGCCTGTTATGGGGACAATCCTAACTATGATTCAATACACAAGTTACTCCTGGTATCCTTTGATGGTTTCAGGGCTGACTATCTGAAAAACTATAGACTACCTCATCTCCAGGAATTTATTGAGGATGGTGTGTTGGTAGAATATGTTACAAATGCTTTTATCACAAAAACTTTCCCAAACCATTACAGCATAGTGACAGGCTTATATGAAGAGAGCCATGGCATTGTTTCTAATGAAATGTATGACAAAGATACAAAGAAGAAGTTTTCACAGTTTAATGATAAAGATCCTTTCTGGTGGAATGAGGCAACTCCTATTTGGATTACAAATCAGCAGCAAGAGAACAGAAGAAGTGCAGCTGCAATGTGGCCTGGTACTGATGTAAAAATTAACAATACCTTATCTCATTTTTTTATGAAATATAATTATTCAGTAACATTTGAAGAGAGAATGGAGAGTATTACTATGTGGCTGAACAATTCTAACCCACCAGTTACTTTTGCTACACTCTATTGGGAAGAACCAGATGCAAGTGGGCATAAATATGGACCAGGAAATAAAGAAAATATGAGAAAAGTCTTAGAACAAGTGGATAACCACATTGGTTCACTTATTTATAAACTCAAGAGATTGGGATTGTGGGAGAACATTAATGTAATAATTACAAGTGATCATGGAATGACCCAGTGTTCCCCGGAAAAACTGATTATACTGGACAACTGCATTGGCCGTGGTAACTATACTCTGGTAGACCAGACACCAGTTGCTGCAATACTGCCAAGAAATAGTATGTATATTTTTCAGTCATATACTGTATTGAGTGTGTGTTAAACTTTCTCTCCTCTTGCCAGAAATGTCGTGTCATATGGTGTATTATTCACAGGATCTCAGACAATACAGTTCACGTTGTAGTAGTTAGTTAGAAAGTAATTAATAAATAAATTAAACTAGGGGTATCTAGTTACTTAAAACTGGGCTCTGGTAATGAAGAGCACTTGTTGAACAGATAATACTTACCCTGCCTGCTTATTTACCCTGAAATATTTTTCTATGTTAATAAGGTCTCTGTGGCTTATGTGTAAAAAGTTGTGGTGGATTCTCCATCACTGAGAACTTTTAAATCAATATTGGATTTTTTTTCAAAAATATGTGCTCTCAGAACTATTTTTTGGGGAAGTTTTATGGCCTTTGTCATATGGGAGCTCAGACAAGACGATTGCAATGGTCCCTTTTAGCCTTAGAATCTATTCATGTATTCCTCCTTTGTTCACCCTGTCAGTTACATCACAATAATGAGCACTGTGTAAGTATTTAACTTTTACTGGGGATTGAAAATTATATTGATAGGAGTTTTAGGTCTTTATAATCTTAAACCAAATCATTTTGCCTCCTTCATCCCACTTGAATGGAGGGTTCATCTTTTAAAAAAAAAAAAAAAAAAAAAAATCCAGTCTCTTACCTATGATTATGTAAATGTATTTTTGTACCTCAGCTTTGGTTTTCTCCACAACAAAATCTGGATAATGTTTGTTCATTTACTATCTACATAGGCAACTGAATATTTGCTGTTTCACATGCTATTTTCTTTGCAGACAAAACATACGTATATAACTTACTGAAAAACTGTAGTACTTTCATGAAGGTGTATCTTAAAGAAGAGATTCCAAACAGATTTCATTACCATCACAATAAGCGCATTCAACCTATAATACTGGTTGCAGATGAGGGCTGGACGATTGTACAAAATGGGTCACTTACAAAATGTAAGTATTTTCATTCTTCATATTGTTGAACTTTTATTTCTGTTGTAGAAGTACCCTGGGCCTCAATCAAATGACCAATAAACCAGTCCTGTGCATCTTGCAAAACCCCACAAACATAGGGTTAGACAAATTAGATAAAATTACAGGTATAGTAAAATCTGTGTTATCCGGCATGCTCTGGGATTAGGGTGTTCTGATTATCTAAAAATTCTGATTATCCATGGGTCCCATCAACCTAGGAAAAACCAATAGACAATAATAATAAAACTCAGGTTTTTAATATTGGTAATTTTGTAGTGTAAGGCAGTTGGTCTCACGTTTCTATTTAGAGTTAAAGATGATTAGTACTTTTTAAATAAAAAATTAAGCCAATCATGGTAAACCAAGCTAGGCCTGTGCACCTGAAGATGTGACCGTATTGTGGCTGGGGGCAATGCTGGTTGACCAAAGTTTTCTGGTTAACAGAGTGGCGGATAACAAAGGTTTCACTGTAAATGGTTTTCAGTGTTCAGAATTAGCACTAACTCTTTCTGTATATCCAGTCTTTTTTAAATTCAGACATAAAAGAATGTTACAAAAGAATTCCTAAGTTGGAGGTTCCCAATTGTTATAATTTGTGGACACCTGGAAATTTCAAATGGAGGAGTTGGATCCGTGTGTGTGTGTGTGTGTGTGTGTGTGTGTGTGTGTGTGTGTGTGTGTGTGTGTGTGTGTGTGTGTGTTTGAATTCTGTTCAATTTTCAGTCTTTTTCGTGGACACCTTAGACCTAGTCCACAGACTCACTGGTTGAAAACAACTATACTTACTGTTCAACAATCAATGTTGTTCCTATAATTTAAAAGGGGCTTACGAAGACACAGTCCTCTCATAAGCAATTTCTAGAGAACAAACTAGAAGTGGCTGAACAAACAATTTTGAAATTTCCCTCTAGAGAATTCCAGTAACTTGTTCTAACTGTTGGGGTAGAAGGAGCTGGTCATGACCCTTGCAAAGAAACAACTGTATCTAATGTGCAAACAATAACCATTGGGTCGGTAGGTATCTTAACAAGTTTAAAGAAAAGTGTCTCTAGAATAGTTGATTAAAAAAGACCACTATTCTCTGCTGTTAGAGTGATCCACAGATAAAGACGAGAGTGAAGTGTCTTCCACTTTGCATTCTGGAACTCTTCCAATTCTGAGCTAAGCTAACTAGAGATGGGATCCAGGTGCACAAGAGATATGAGTTCTGGTCCTGAAGAATTCAGTTCATGAACCAACAGCCTGGGTGACCCAGTGAAGTACAGCTATCATAGCTGGACACAGGAAAAATGTTTGGGGTTTGTTAATTTAGTTTCCAGAGCACTTAGGCCTTCTACAAAATAAACTTGTTGCTGTATTGTGTATGTTCTAAATAATGTCAGACTTTGGCATTTCAGAGAAACAAGTGAATCACTGTGAATTAGTACATTACGTACTTTGACCACTTTTAGATTAAAAATAGGTTTGAATCCAGATTTGTTCTATTATATATAGACAGTAATGACAATTCTTTTCACACTCAAGATCTTTTGCATGGACTCTCCCTTCTGGGAGGGGGAATATAGAAGTTGTGCTCTAATCCAAATAAACATCAGCAAAGTGTACTCTTCAATTTTTAAAGTAGTAAATCTTTATTACAATATTTCTATGTCTTTCAGGCATCAGTACAAGTGTTGCATTACTTTTTTGCACCTTTTTTAGGAATGGGAAACAACTAAAATCATAGTTGACAATAAAATGCAGGACAATGTAGCACTTTAAAGACTAACAAGATGGTTTATTAGATGATGAGCTTTCGTGGGCCAGTTGACAATGTTTGTAAGCAACTTAAGTTTCTAACATTAATTTTATATGCTTATTAACTTAGTATTTCTCCTTTTTAGTAGGTGACCATGGTTATGACAATGCTCTCCCAAGTATGCATCCATTCCTGGCTGCTCATGGTCCTGCTTTTCGCAAAGGCTACAAGAAGAAAACAATTAATAATGTTGATATCTACCCAATGATGTGTCACATCCTTGGATTAAAACCTCAGCCGAACAATGGAACCTTCAGCAACACCAAGTGTTTGTTAGTTGACCAGTGGTGCATAAATCTCCCTGAATCCATTGGAATAGTTATTGGTGTTCTCCTGGTGTTAACTACTCTGACCTGCCTTATAATAATCATGAGGAATAGAATATCCTCTCCTCGTCCATTCTCCCGGCTTCAGCTACAAGAGGATGATGATCCCTTAATTGGATAGCAGATGTAGGAAATTCTAGCTTCACTACTACATAGATATTAGTATCTGGAAATAAGTGGTATGTTGAATCTGCAACTTTGCTGATCATTCTATGATGCACTTTAAAGGGTACACATTTAAAATTGTCTAAGATGTACAGACAAAAACCTGTTGAACTGTTTGCTTATGAATCTTGACTGACAATAACACACGAGTCATAAAAGAAATCTACACTGAAGGGATCCTGTGCTTCCTACTGGGGAAGGCATTTAACAAAATAAGGATGTTAATTTTGCATTTGGGTATTTACAAACTTGTAAAATATCAATTGTAAACTATTGAGGCTGGGATTCTGAACTTCAGTATTTGTAAATGAAACTGAGTGCATTTTGTATTAAATTTAATAGTGGTGATCTCTTTACAATTCTTGCACTCATGTATCAGTTGCAAAAATCTGTCCTACGTCTTAGAGACTTTTTAAGAGCAGTAGTTCTCTGGCTGGTGTATATTGACTGTTCTGGGAAATGTGGATTCCAATTTTTAACATCCAAAATACCAGCAATAAAGATTCAGCACTAACAGTAGTTCTCCATGCAATTTATTATAAGTTGTACAAATGTTCAACTTGGAGGTGAAATAGTCTCCTGCAGGAATGGGTTTATGGATATCAAGGTTCTTGTGACACTTCTGACTTTCTGTATGGTCTTGTGTAAGTCAGTTGACTTCTACCACAGTTTTCCCATTTATAGAACTGGGATAACACTTACCTTATGTGGCAGAGATGTTGACTTTAGTAGTTTAATGTTCGTGAAATGTTTCAACATTCTCAAGTGGTAGTTTGGAAATACAAAGTACTATTAAAGAGGAGATTATGAAAATATTTCTCAAACACACCCTTACTTAACTACATTCAGACCTTTTTATATATACACTTAAACAAGCTTTAGTGGGTTTTTTTTTAATGGAAGGCCTTGACTTCAGGGTTCAAAGCCTGCTCTGATTAAAACATGATTGCAATAACACAGGAAGAAAAATTTGGTTTAGCTTATTATCTGCTTAGGTAAGGATATGCACAACCAATGGGCTTTATTCTATGAAGGTGGTACTTTTTTGGATCTAAACATATTAACAGTACAGTTCTAGTGCAAGCAAAATTTTATTTTCTGAAAACCACTGAAACTTTGTAATTAATGGGATCATTGTTTTTGTTTTGTTTTTTTAACTCAGAACTATTGTTCAGTTGAGCAGATATAAATACTACCAGAAAATAACTTTTTGAACACTTGTGTGTGCAGTAATCATAATTGACTATTGGCCCATGAGGAGAACCTTGGTAAATATTGAACTCCAACTTTCTTTGGCAGTAATAGAAAAGGATGGTAGAATGACAGCTGAGATTGCTGACAACATAGGTTTGCTTGTTTGTTTTCCATACTCTTTTGGCTCACTTGACTAGAGCTTGTAAAGTTTGGTGGTAATTTCAGTTAATCATTTCGTACACAAAGTAAGATTGAACCATCACTTGTAGAAGTGGCCAAAGTACCTCACCTTCCCACTTTTTTTTTTTTTTTAAAAGCAGGTAACATCTAGTTTTCATCTAAGAGGCGACATTCTTGGTAGTGAAACATCAAAGCTTAAATGTCTTTGTTTTATAGTACATAGTTTTTAGCTAGTGGTTATACCGCTATCCTGAATGGTGCTTGCTGTAAGATTGAAATTGTCTTGTGACCTGAAAGGTGCAGTTAAACTCATTTTACTTACATGCCTATGATTACCATAGGCACTTCCTTTTTTTTTTTTTTTTTTTCCAACTTCAACTAAGCACGTGCTGGATTTCTAACAGTTGTATTTAGCACAAGATGTAAGCCAGTAGAAGCCAAAAACCAGAGCCAAATACATAATTCTAACAGCATATGACTTATTTTTACATTTGCTTTCACAAAAAATTTTAAAAGGCTAACAACATATTAGACAGAATGACAGTATGTCACCTTTCTATTGAGAAGTTAGAGCTGTACAACAACGTATACTTGAATTGCATCTTAACTTTTTAGTTCCTTTGGGCACTTGTAGAAGCCAAAAACCAGAGCCAAATACATAATTCTAACAGCATATGACTTATTTTTACATTTGCTTTCACAAAAAATTTTAAAAGGCTAACAACATATTAGACAGAATGACAGTATGTCACCTTTCTATTGAGAAGTTAGAGCTGTACAACAACGTATACTTGAATTGCATCTTAACTTTTTAGTTCCTTTGGGCACTTG